ATGGGCAGGTCGTAAATATTTTTTATATTTTACGAAAACATGACTTAAGAACCTCAGAGAATTCGGGCTGGATACTACGGAATAATGTAAGACTTGCGGCGGTAAATAACAAACTTCGTAACACAGGGAAAGCAACATGGAATATACACACGACAGAGAATATAGTGAAACATCAGAGCGACATAGCATGATCAGCGATACAACAGCAAGGCAGTTACATTCACATCCCCAATGTGATGTACACTCGTATCTTCCTCAAAGGAACACACAGGCAAGCGTCATTGACCAGGTCAGAAAATGGGCGATCCGGTATGATGACAACAGCGATCCATTGACGTTTATCGAGCGATTGGAAGAATTAGCGGATCTGTATGCCATATCAACGAACATGTTGCCTCGAACAATGCCCCTGTTACTAGATGGAGAAGGTTTGGTGTGGTTTAGATACAATAAGAAAGACTGAAATCACTGGGAAGCGTTCAAGAGAGATTTTCTGAAATTCTTTCTACCACATCAATATTTCGAGCGATTGGAGGACGAACTGAGAAATCGATTGCAGAAACCAGGAGAGACGTTTAAAATGTATCTTTTGGAACTACAAAAACTAATGCGACACGCAGGTTTAAATCAAGAGTCACAATTAGAACGAGTATATCGCAACATGAGCACAGAGTACCAAGTATACATCAAACGTCGGAATTTCACTTGTCTAAAGGAATTAATAGCACTAGCTGAGGACTTCGAAGAACTACGCGAAGAGCAGAATGAAGTAAGTCGAGCACGAGATAGCGAGGTAATCTTCGGGCGCGTAGCAGTGGAATGTGCACGACCGCTGATAATACAGAAGACCATGAGACGCATAGCCAATACACCGAAATGTGATAAAATCATTCATAGTCCAGTCTCCAAGTCACCTTTCCGCAGCCAGCAGCAACACCAGCCAATCGCCAAGCAAACACCTGCAGAAACGTCTAGAATTTTTACTTCAACTACTGCAGCAAGCATATCAACACAAAGCGTGCGACATCGAAATGACGCAGAACAACATCATGTATCACCGCAAGATCGCAAACTAATCCCAGAAAATCCAAAAATAATTAAGCAACAGCGAGTTCCACAAGAGCAAGAACCATTACAAGTCCAATTGAAACAAATGCAACAAGAGCAAGATCCGAGTTCAATCAGGCTGCAAATACCAGAAATACAACAAGAACAAAGTCCTAAAGTCAAAGAAATGTCAACAGAGTTTAATAACCAGCGAGTAATACGAAATCAAGAAACATTGCAAGTTCAATTGAAACAAATGCAACAAGAGCATCATTCGAGACCTATCAAAGTGCAAGTACCAGAAGTACAACAAGAACAAAGTCCTAAAGTCAAAGAAATGTCAGCAGAGTATTGTCAACCACGAGTCATACAAAAACAGGAAATATTACAAGTTCAAATGAAGCAAGTAACGCAACAACAAGATCCAAGACCTAATAGTGTACAAAAGGCGCAACGACACCGAGATCCAAGTCCCATCATGGTAGCACCTGATGTAAAACAACATCAAGCTACACAAGAACAAGCAGCACAGCACCAAGATCTAAAACATATCAAAAAACAAATACCAGAAATACCACGACAACCAAATCCTAAATTCAACGAAATGCCAGCAGAATTTGGTCAACAGCTAGATATACATGAGCACGTGGCACAACAGCAAGATTCAAGACCTAGTAGCATGGAAGAAGTACAACGACACCGAAGTGCAAGCCCTATCAATGTACCGCCAGGTCCAGATGGAAAACAGCTACTAGATACCCCAGAGCACGCAGTACAAGAAGTGTTTAACATCTCGCAAGAACAACCACCGTCAAAGACTTCGCTAATACCATGGAAGCAAAAGGATAAAATTATCAAAACGAATTCAACAAAAGGTCAAATATATGATGAAATACTTAGTCTTACCCAATCATTACCATTAACACAACTACCACAGCAAAAGGAAAAAACAATCCGCCTTCTAAAACAAGTAGGAGTATGTTACGAGTATCACGCATCGAAAAATCCACCTAGTATTCAAAGTCGACAACAACAAGTGAAACAGCGAAGTGTATTTCAACAAGACGATCATCACACCAAAGAGCAACACGACTTCTATAAAATATATAAGAGTCCAAAACAACGTCACAGAAATCACGCTGGCAGGTAATGGTTCAGAGCAAAATCACGTTTCCCGAAAGAAAGGAGGGAGTGTAACGGCCAAAATTTTGTCAACCAAAAATTTGATCGTTACAACGTCGTGGGTATAGCTGTCTACTAAACACAACACGACCACCTAACACACAACAAGTAACACTCACTCGAAGGTTCCTGTAATAAAAATTGTTAAATACTTATAAAAACATTAAGTTAAACCAACTCACCCCAATCCTCTGCCACCAACAACGTGACTTTGAATTTGACAAATCTTAAAATTGTATGGAAATCCTTGGTTAGTGCGTGAACAATTTTTGAATAAAACCATAACATAAGACACATATCTTGAGCTATCGTTGGGTGTTCTATTTTGCTGGAACTTTATTGGAAAATAAAACAATTTTAAAATAATTTTCTAATTAATAGAATTAAATACACACGTTCACCGGCACAACACATTGCTAACAAACAAACGAAAGCAAAACAAAATAATAGTAAAGAGACCTGTCAAACGAAGAAAGCTTTGTGCAGAAAAGGTGTAGAAGCGGATCACAACTTAGACAAAAACCACTTATAAAAGGTACTCAAAGAAATGTAAATTCGCCGTGAAACTGAACTTTCGCTCAGTGCGGTACAGAAAAGGAGCTTTAATGTTGGGTCAACAAACTTTAACGTTTTGTCAGCTGACACCGTTGACCATGGAGGGGATAAAAGGAGCGTTCACCAAGAAGAAGCTCTCTTGTTTTGTTCTACCGCGGAAGAAAGACTCCTGGCTCTGGTTTCCGTTGCAGCTAAAAAGTACGTGACTAAGACGGCGGTGTCACCAGTGAAATTTGAGTGACTCTTCAAACTTAGTGAGAATATTTTGTTAAAAAATTTATACATAGAGATTATATATATTGAAAATTTTATTAACAAATTGTGAACATTTAAAAATTGAATCTTGTAACCAAGGTCAAAGTTAAGTAAAAATAAAAATTACGTTTAATTTAAAATTTTGTACACAGAAATTATAAACTTGATAATATCGAATTATTGAAACTTTTATCTATAAATTGTGAACATTTAAAAAATTGAATCTTGTAACCAAAGTCAAAGTTAAGTGAGAATAAAAAGTACGTAAATTTTAAAATTTTGTACACAGAAATTATATATTTGTTAAAATCGAAATATAGAAAAATTTTATTTATAAATTGTGAACATTTAAAAATTTAATTTTGTAACCAAAGTCAAAGTTAAGTAAAAATAAAAAGGACGCACAAATTAAAATTTTGTATACAGAAATTATATATCTGATAATATCGAAATAGGAGAAAATTTTAGTTATAACTTGTGAACATTTAAAAATTGAATTTTTGTGACCAAAGTCAAAGCTAAGCAAAAATAAAACGTATGTATAAATTAAAATCTTGTAGACATAGATTATATATATATTGGATAATATCGAAATATTGAAAATTTTGCAATAATAAATTGAAAAAAAAACTTAACAATTGAATTTTACTAGTGGCTGTAAAGCCAAATAAAAGTAAGTACAAATTATATTTTAGACATAATTGTTTGGTTGTTAATATAATAAATCTTAACAAGTTCTTTTATATCGAATAAATAAATTAAAAGGAAAATAAACTAAAAGTGTAGTTCAACAAACGCACTCAGATTCTTAACCAGATACAGAATTAGACATAATTGTTTGGTTGTTAATATAATAAATCTTAACAAGTTCTTTTATATCGAATAAATAAATTAAAAGGAAAATAAACTAAAAGTGTAGTTCAACAAACGCACTCAGATTCTTAACCAGATACAGAATTGATAAAGTACCACATAGACTAGCTACTCCTGAACGGTATAAATTCAAGGTGGGAATCCAGCACAACGATACAAGTGAGAGACACAGGTAAGAAAGATTCGGGGCTTCAATAGTAACTGAATCTCGGTTGTACGGGGTATAACTCACGTAGCTTTAATAGTCACGTGAGTCTATACCATAGTGTCGGAAACGATAGGTAGCTTTAATAGTCACCTAACGTCTCCGGCCCCTGGGCGCTTTAACAGTGAACAGGGAAGGGCGTGTGACCTGCGACCTATAACACAACGCACGTAGCTTTAACAGTCACGTGTGTTTGCGTTATATCGTGTCGGCTGTCTGGCGAATTAGTATTTATAACATCAGCTCAGCTCATCAGCGATTTAGTTTAGTTTCGATCAGGTGGCCTACGGTTCTGTTCATCGTCATCGTGAAAACTTGAAGTGATAGGGTCTCACTAAATAAATTTCTTGTGTGGACCTTGGGGACGGCTGAGTTCAACCCCAGCTTAATACGAACCAAAGAAAGGTTCATTACAA